TGATGGGAAATATGTACGTGAAAAGTAGGGATTTGTAAATATCAGGTGTGTATGTGATAATAATAACGTGAATGGAAAATGTGGTCATTTGTATAGTGTGATGATGTATGTAGCGTGGGAAGGAAACAAGTGGGTAGAAATTAGCCTCAAAAAACCAAACAAAGATTTGATTGGAAAATGAGGGTTGTGTAATGTATGTAAGTGTGATACGAGAGAATGGATTTAGAAATTGGCCTCCAAAATAAATAATAAAAATATAATTTTAGGAAAGTAAACTACCATAAGATAAACATCATGTGGTAAAGAAACAAATAAATTGAAATTGAAAATTTGTAAATAAAGAGAGGGGCTCATATAAAATCCTTGGCTAATAATAAAAAAGTTTTTTTTTAAAGGGAAAAATTGAAAAGAAATTTGTAAACAAGTAGTGCGTGAGTGTTGTGAAATTCTTAATGAAAAATTAGGACAAACTAGGGTCCTATTTATAGATTTAGAATTAGGTTAAGCAAGACTTAGAGACTAAGTTATCTAAAATGTATGAAAAACCCGAAACTTGATTTCCAAAAAAGGAAAGAAAATTAGTAACAAAAAGAAATAGAAAAAATGTTTAAAAAGTTCACTATAAGAGATTTGAACCCACAATCTCATACTTGAGAGCTTCATTCCTTACCAACTGTGCTATGTTATTTATTCGAAATAAAAATCCAATTGAAAGTACATGAAGACGAGCAAGTATTTGTTTCTTCAAAAATACAGATGATCTGAAATAAATTATTATATTTTTAAATAGTTTGGAAGCAAATATTTTAAAAACACCAAAATATTAATGTAATTATACCAAAAGAATTTTTAAAATCCGTGTTCGAAAATAAATTTGACGGTAACACTAAAGGCGATCAAATTTGGGATATGTCATCTTCTTTAATAATCCGGACAAAACATATGCACAAATAACAAACAGGTAAGGTGAAAGAGGATCTCCTTGACGGAGTCCCATCTCAGGATAAAAAACTCTATTGGGCTAGCCGTTGACAAGGAATTGGAATGAAACCGTGGAAATGCATTTCTCGATCAACAAAATCAAATTCCTCGGAAACCCTATGGCTTCGAGGGCTCCCACTATGAATCTTCATTCCATCCTATCATACACTTTGAACATGTCTAGTTTAACTGCCATAACCGCTTTCTTTCCTTTCATCTTTTTCTTCATCTAGTGGAAGCATTCCATTGCAACAAGAGTGTTGTCAGTGATGAGCCTCCCTTGGACGAACGCGCTCTGTTCCATATTAATAACTCTTGGCAGCACCTGTTTCACCCTGTTTGCAATTGTCTTCGACACTAGTTTCATGACCATATTACAAAGGTTGATCGGGAAAAAATCCTTTGGAGATGTTGGGTTTTTACATTTTGGGATAAGAACAATGAAAGTTCTATTCATCTCATCTAGATCTTTGTCTCTGTTCATAATTTCTAGCACCATCCTCTTAACATCCTCCCCACAATATGCCAATATTTTTGGAAAAACAAGCCTAGTAAACTGTTAGGACCTAGAGCTTTTAACGAGTGCATTTGAAATAAGGCTTCCTCCACTTCGATTCCTGTGAACTCCGATCCACAACTCTCCTTGACCTTCTTACTAAGCTTGTCTCTCACTACCTCACAAGTAGCTTGAATATTTGTTGGGCCTGAAGAGGAGAACAACTTTGTGAAGTAATTAACTAAGACTCGCTCGCATTGTTCTCTCCCCTACCACCATCTACCTCCATCATCTCTCAGTTTTTTAATGTAATTTGTTTTCCGTCTCTGCTCAGTTTTCCCATGAATTTTTTGTGTGTTTTTATCACCCTCACTAAGCCATAACACTTTACTCCTCTTCCTCCACATAATCTCTTCCGCCTTTAACAGGTTATTCCTCTGATCTTCCAACGCTTTGTATTTCTTTATGTTCTCCTCATTTCCTTCCCACATCTCTCGCTTCTTGAGTTGATCCTCTATACGAAGAATATCTTTGCGAATGGACCCGCATCTGTACTCCTTGAAATGATCCCAAATACCCGACTCAACTTTGATCTTCTTGTAACCTGTCTGGCCATTAGTGCACCAATTCCTTCTCACTAGCCCTTCACAATTATAATATCTACTCCACACCTCCTCAAACCTGAATAAGTTCTCTTTTTTCTCTTCTTTGTCCCCATTATGAAATTCCAGCTCAAGAGTAATTGCAGTGTGATCAGAGCCGAATCAGGATAAGTGCGCACTTTCAGCGGTTGAAACTGTGCTATACCCGCATCGTTTCCCAACACCCTATCCAAGCGGCATTGAATATTGTTTATCCACGTCTACCGTTTGTCCAAGTAAATTCGTATCCCTCAAAGCCAAGGTCTCTAAGCCCACATTCTGCCACTGCTTGTCTCCCCTGGTTGAGTTGACTAATGGCTCTATTATTTCCCCCTTTATTTTCATGCTCAGACAGAATGTCGTTAAAGTCCCCCCTTTATTTTCATGCTCAGACAGAATGTCGTTAAAGTCCCCCATACAAAACCATATATCCTTACTCACTTTTTTGAAACTTTGAATCAACTGCCAAGTTTCCCTCTTATTATGGTCTTCGGGGAAACCATAAATCCCAGAGAAATGCCATATAACATCCCCTTCATCATCTTCCACTACAACATTTATGTGATTAGCAGAGTAAGAAGTTACCTCCACCTTCAAAGATTCTTTCCACAACATTGTGTTGTTCACGGATTATTAAAAAAAAAGGAATAGCCACTGAGAAATTTATCGGGTCGAGTCGCGGTTCGGTACGCTTTCTTTAAGACGTTTCGCCGGATGCCAACAAAGTGCAAGGCAGTCGATAATAGGCGACGTCTCCAGGATAAAACAGCCCGTTCGAATAAAATACGATTATCACTTGCACTGTGATAAATCGTTCTATGAATAACACCTTCTGATGGTGTAGAAACCACTCGTAGTATCTGCAAAGAAGCAGTCGAAAAACAGAGTAGAAAAAATTGAGATGAAGCAGAATAGAGAGAGAGAAGAGTAAAAAACGAGATTGTGAATACTGGAGTTATTTGCAAATGAAATAATCACTAATTCAACAAAACGGTTCGAAAAAGTAGGAAGAACGTGGGAGAGGGTTGAATTGGCCCAGTCAAAAGTAACTGTTATTGCTTGGTCAGACAGTCATGCGTTTTGACTCTTGGAAGGCAAGTAATTGACACGTCACTAATTCCGTAATTAATTAATATTAAATATTAATTAATTTCCACTATTTTTAATTAATTAATGCTAATTAATTCCACCGAATTAATTAATTATTAATAATCATTAATAATTAATTTTCACCAAAATCCGGTTCAAAAAATTAATTCATCTAGACCGAACCGAGCCGAGCCGGCCGGTCGGACGGCAACGGCGGCGCGCGCGCGTGTGTCTAGATGACTTAGTGATGTGTCCTCACTCCTTAACAAAATTGGGGTGCCCCTTGGGGCCCAACCCAAGTGTCCAAGTTGGAGTATTTATGCACTACTAGAAGTTGTGTTCCCTCCAATGTGGGACTTAAATGAATCCTTTCAAATTCACTCACAAACTAGTTCATTCATGTGCTCATTTATTGCCCATTTAATGTCAATGAATCATTCCAATTCCCAATCCAAGTTATCATCATTCCAAGATTTCCAACAATCCCCCACTTGAATTTAAAAGGTGATTTTAGAGGTAACGTCAGACGTTTCTAAGATTGTGCATAAGCAAAGGTGTCTATGACTTGAACCTTTGCGTAGCAAGTAGGATTCTGATTCAACAAGAGTGACACAATTGTCTTGAACTCTATCTCAGACATCAGACCCGCACACAACCTTTTCTTTAAGGTGTATTCTAATAGCCCGTGCTTTAATGGCCCTGCACGTGTATCCCGGTTTAGTGAAGGCTCTAGGAATTTTGCCTCGCAATTCCATAGGAACCGACCCAAGTTCCACAATCACCAAGGTGAGTCTATCAAGAGTACTCCTGTAGTCTAGGTACTCCCTCATACAGAGTATAGATCTCATTAAGAGTTTCTATTATCTCAACCTCTTATTACTTCAGGAATCATGCTTCTCTTGCATGATCATCTCATATCACTCACAACTTGTTATTACCCATTGAACCTATTTCTTGGGATCTCCAGTCATTTAGGTCGGGTTACCATTGTGAGCAACTCATATTCATATAGGCATTAGTCCCATCTTATATGATGTGTTATGGACTTTCTCTCTAGCTAATCCTTTCGTCAAAGGATCTGCTAAGTTTTCATCAGTGCGTACATGATCCACTCTTACAGCTCCTTTAGAGATACAGTCTTACAGCTCCTTTACAAGATCAGAAAGATGAAGTCTTAGTTGTTTCGAACAACAAAAAGAGACTGTATCTTGGCGCAATGAAATTTTGGCGCATATCACACTTATGCTTCACCTTTCCAAACTCTTGATCTTTCAAACGAGTCTCCATAAGAAAGATAAGAGAGGGATTTTCCACATAGATGAGCCTTGACAAGGCTCAAACTGTTTGAGGACTTCCTAAACCTCGGCAGTTCCAACTGAAAATCTTCATTATTTTAGGCGGTGTTGGCCTTCCAACACCACCTTTGGTATAATGTCATCTCTTACCACCCCTTCACTGACCTGTTTCCTCTTTTTCTCACCACTACCAAAATCTTCAACAACTCCATCAACAACCATTAACATCAAATAGCTGCCTCTTAGAGCTTCCTGGCCATTTTATCTACTCTTCTTTTGAGACCCCTTCCTCCTAACCCATTTCCTCTTCTGCACTTCTTTCGATCCCGTACAACTTTCTCATACCTTCTTCTCTAAGGATATTGCCACAACTCCCAACAACTCTGCAACTTTTTCGATATCCGGGTTTTTCTCCATTGACTCATGTGTAGCATTCAGAACCAGATCATTCGACGTTGCTATCTGATTTATTTTTTGGACCCCCTGTTTCCCAACCTTCTACTTCTCTTTTGTCTTGCACCTACTTTGTCCCGAAGACACATTGAAAATATTTTTACTGCAAGTGCCTGAGCTTGAGTCCCTCTTCTTTTGATCCTCTATGACCTTGGGTAAAGGTGAAGCCCTCAACCATTGACCATACGATAGTTCTTGTTCCTCGATGTCTTCAAATCCTTCTTCATTAAGGTCCTCAAAAGCCTCACAATCTTTAAGTTGATGTCTAATTCTCCCATAAATGAAACAAAATGTAGGTAACCTTTCATATTTAAAATGATCTCTCCGGTTTTTCTCTTTGAATTTCACGACCGTTCCTCTTTTCAGCGGATTCCTAAGATCTATGGTGACTTTGATTCTTAGGAATGTTCCAATACGGTGAGCATCCTTCAAATCCATTTCTTCATACGAGCCGAAGATGTTCCCTAACTTCTTAGCAATAACTTCAGACAGAAGCATTAGTGGCAACTCATAGATTCGTACCCAGAAGGTATCAAAATGCATGGTGAGGTCAGAGGGTTGCTCCTCCCCCGTAACCCTTTCCAACACCAACAAGGCTCTATAAAAGCTCCATGGCCCACTCCTTAATATGTACTCTAGATCTCTCTTCATCGAGAACTTGAAAAGAAATAAGTTCTTGCTCAGATCTTGTATCTCGACAGGGTTTTTCAGCTTCCATGCGTTCAATATTGTACTCTTAAAAGCTGTACTGTTGAAGCTGTTCTCCGTCCATAACTTTCCTGCTAGGGTGTGCTGAAAAGTATATTCTTCACTGACTTCCTCCGCTGCTACTTCAACTCCCTCCTCCTCCTCCTTTGAGAACTGGAAGAAGAGAAAAATCGCTATCACAAACTCTATAATAAAGAAGGATAGTGGAAGAAGAAGAGAAAATTCGCTGTCACAAACTCTATAATAAAGAAGGATAGTGGAAAAACGTATTAAGTTTATAGAGAAATTTGAGTCTCTCTAGATACGTGAGTAAAATTAAAGTAACATATTTTTTCAAGCCAAACAGATCTTTAGAATAACAAACTTCTCCAAAACCCAACTGAAAGCGACAATTAACTCCAATTTATTATTATTTTTTCTTTTTGTCATTTTCTCTCAAAAACGGAAAACGAAAACTTCTTGACTAAGGTTGACACACAACAATTCACACACACTCACACTCACAACAATCTCTCCGCCATTACCATTCTCATCCTCACCACTCACACCATTTCTATTTCAAGAGTATAAAACAAAATCAAAACCGTAAACCCTTTCATTTCTCTCACTTTCTAGGTTTTCTCTCTCTAAAACTCTCTCTCTCTCTCTCTCTAAAACTCTCTCTCTCATCGTTGTATCGTAGCATCAATGCAGAGAAGAAGCAACCATCAACCTCACAAGGTACATTTCTCCGCTGCATTTTCCGATCGCTTTTCGTTTTTTTTTTTTGCGTTAATGTTTGTTTTCGTTCATTCGCTTCAGAGATGGTTCGTTACTTCCTTTTCGTTTACTCTGTTTTGATTTCGCTTTTGTTAGTTACTCATTTTTTTCGTGATAATCGGAGAATGTGACGGTGATTTCTGTTAGGTTATGGTTGTAGAGAGTAGAGATTTGTGGAACTGTTAGGTTCTGATCGTAATTGTTGTTACATGCAATTTAATTATAACTATACTCAACAATTAGTAGTTACAAGATTTGAGCACTTTAGTATAGTATGAATGCAGAGTTTTTGTTGATCATGCTAACACAAAAGCTGATTCTTAACTTATAATCCAGGTTTTAAATAACGGTCACCAAAAGGATTTCGCAATTTCGATCCGTGTACTGGCGTTGCGACACTGATTGCAGTCATGGTGATGTGAATTAACTATAGTTTTTTCTTTATGATAAAAACGGTGAATAACAGTATTGGTATCAGCACGTTCTGATACTGTTTTGTCGCGGTTGTTTTCGCAATAGTGGACTGTTTTTCAAAACCTTCTATATATTTTTTTTCAAAAAAATTATGTGAAATTTCATGGGAATGAACTTCCGACCGTCTTTTCATGGGAATAAAACCCTGAGAATTATGGAAGTTATTTGATTTCAAGGAACTTTTATTCTTGAGAATAATTTATTTTCAAACTTGTAACAAACATGAGAATAACTATTTTCCACCCATGTATTCTCAGGAATATATTTTCTAGACTTGAAACAAACACCCCCTAAGTGAAAATCAATTTCAATGATTTTTTTCCTTTTATGTGAAAGTAAATTCGAAGCTCTTGTGATGTTTTTTGGTTTATTACATATGGACTTTGCTGGTTATGTTTGTAGGTGCTTACATTGATCTCATAGTTCTTTTCTTTTTCAAAACTTAGTCTCCGTGCTTGGTTTGAATTTGAAATAATTGCTTTTTTTAAGCAGCTTCTTCGGAGAAATTCTGAAAATGAAATTGTTCAATTTAGAAATTATAAGTGTTTCCAAATGACCACTTAAGTTTCCTCCAGAAATAGTTAGTATTTTGATATAGAATGTTTGTATGGAGAGCTTATCCAATTAGTATTTGCATAACCATAAATCTCTATGCGTAACTTATATTTATGCAGTAAAATTTCTCTTTGGGCTGATTAATAAATGTTTTGTTTGCGTGCAGTAAAGATGATTAGTGGTCATATGATAATGTGAGATAATTCAACTTTCTAACTAACTTTTATTAACTCCCAATACTTGGTATGAGGCCATGAGCTCCTTGCATTTTGAAAGAAGCTTGACTTTTGGAGGCTTGAACTTTCTCTGAAATGTTGAAGGCTTGAAGCCATACTTCTCCTTGGAGATATAATACAATGTTATCTCCATATGAAAATTCCTTGCTTAAACTTGAATGCTAAAATAATTAATTTTCACAGTTTAAAGAATGAGTGGTTTGAATATTTTGTAATAGATATTTCATGATGAAAACTTTGGTTTTCTTGGTAGTTGATGTTTATGTATTCAATATTCCTTGCAGGTTGAACCTTGTGATATATGTGGTGATGTTGGTTTTGCTGAATTATGTGTCGCTTGCACTAAATGCAGAGTATTCCGGGAACATATGTAATGATCTCCCTTTTCCTCTCATATTATTATAGTCTTTCCTTTTCTGACTTTTTCATATTCTTTCTTTTTTCTCACTTCGATTTTTCTGGATAAATTATTCTTTTCAATTTATTGCATTAAATAAACTTCATTAATACAATGGTAGTGTGGCGTGTTTGGATTGACGGTCGACAAAATTGATTCTAGCAGAATTGAGTTTGGTATAATTGGTCCTAGCAGAATTGAGTTTAACATAATTGATTTATGTTTGGATACATTTATGTAAAAACGAGTTTAACAATAAATTTCAGTGTAAAAATCATTCAGAATCAATTCTGGAGGCAGAAGATACAAATTCTAGCTTCAAATAAAATTAACTCTGGAGACAGAATCAATTTTACTTTTGATAAACCAAACACCTCAAGATCACCCAAAATCAATTCTACACCTCTAGAATTGATTCTCGGTCTTCCAAAAACCAATCCTTAGGAACTGATCTTAATGGACACCCTAAGACTATCTATATGTCTTGATGTCTGCTTCCTAATCTTTGAAATTCAGAACCTAGTCATAGTGAGATAATTTAGCTTTCCCACTAATCTTCTATATCCGTGTAGGTGAGAATAGGGTCAAGTACAACTAAGACAATGTTGAAAAATGATGGAAAATGTGAAGCTTGACCAATACTAGTGCTATGTGCCATGGTCATTAGCAAGAGTGATGCAGTGAGATGTTTTAGGAGATAGAAATTTAGAGAGAAGGTAGGGGTTACTAGGATCCAGTAGGCAGGACTTCAAGTCAGGGTCACTTATCTAATGTGTTGTCATGCTATGAACTGACTTATACAACCTCTATATATTACTTGATCAAACAGTTCATGCTCTCTTAGAAACATTATAACAAGTCTTATAGGGACAAAAATGCCCCGTCAACTTAAGTTCAATAGGCTAGCATGATAAGGGTAAAAGTTAATGATCGACCCCTTCTCCGATGTTGACCGTGATGGGTTGACAACTAGCAAGTGTGGACCATTCTTTGGCATTGGCGCAAAGAGGGGAGCCCCATCAATCACTTTTGCAATGGTTGTCATCAATTGAAATGATGGGGAGTGATAAGGTGGCTTGGTTGGTTGGGGAAGTCATGAGTTCCACTCCCTTATAATTGAAACGATGGATTAGTCGAAAAAAATAGTAGAGATCAAACATGAGAGCTGAAGTTCCAAATTGAAAAAAAATACTCCACGGGAGCTGAAGTTATCTGGAGTTTTGTTGTATATCTCTAATAATTGTATACGCGCAGGCACACACACAAGGACAGCGGTATCTAAAATTGTAAATTTAAGGAGCTGAAATCAATGACAGCCCAAGACTATATGTAGAAACTGTGGAATACAATAAAAGAATGAAAGGAAAGAATCAATAATAATTTCTACTACCATCTATACATACATGCGTTTTGGGAAACTGATATGTGTTGCTAATTGTCTATTTGAATTTATATTCTTTTTCTGGAAACCGTGAGCATTCAATTCTGAGGGCTTCTTTGATTCTAAACCTTATATAATATATGCATTATGCTATCAAAAGCATTAGACCTTTTATTAGCTAGTAGGCTTAAGGAATGATAAAACAAAAATCCACAATCTAACTTTGGCACATAATATTACACATTTTCTTCTAATCTTACAAAGGATTGGTTCTGACTTTAGACAATAGTTTTACTATATCCCTTTTGCTGTACTACTGCGTGTATAATTTTGTTCTGACTCCATGCAATTTCTGTCCCATTTCAGTTACTGCATGCGAAAAAATCTTATTGAAATTCCAGATTACTGGTATTGTGAAACATGCCTATCCAAAAACGCTACAACTTCACCATGTGAAGTGAAACAGGATGTCGGCTTGCAGGGTACAACTTCACCATGTGAAGTGAAACAGGACATTGGCTTGCAGGTTTCCACACGGAAGCAAACTTTTAGAACAGGACCAACAGGGAAAGTGAAGTACCTTCACGAGGATGAAGTCATCAAACTTTCTAGCTGTAATATTTCTACGAAATCCACTCCAGCTAGCTCTACTTTACCGATGACCAAGAAGGCTAGGTCTAGTTTGCCGTCTACCAGAAGGGCACACGTAGCATTCAAAAGTGTTATTCCGAAGAGTCCCTCCCTAACTGTGAAACCAAATCCTAGCATAGCACCTATGGCACATGGAAAGTTTCCAAGAAATGGAGTTCAGAAAAATCTAATGAATGATCAACATGCTTCATCATCGAAAGGTGATATTTTTTCCGTTTCTTAGCTGCCATCCTTATTCCTTCAAACAAAACATACATATATCGAAACAATTGAGTTTCTCAAAATGTATAACTGCGAGACTGAATTTCTCTGGATTTTGAGCTGATTTGATGTATAAAGCCTTTATTTGCACGTTTTCCATGATACTTGCTTGGGATTTCTATTTGAGATTGTTCATATTGTAGGACCAACAAAGGAAAATAGATTTGTATCTGAGCAGAGAGTGAGTACACCAATACCTGATAGAAGAGTTCAACCTCTTAAAGTTCACACTCTTGATCCTCAGATAGAAAAGCCTACAAAAAGGGAACCCTGTAAAGATTTATCTGCTACTAAATCTTCACCTGTTGCTGTTTCAGGTAAGATACTTTTCTAGCTATAATGGATTCTTCTAGTTGTGTCTGTTTCACTCTTCTATTGGTTTTTGCATGTTCTTAAGTCTTAACATCTCAATATGTACGTGGAAAAGTATTTTGGTTTGTTTTGTGAATTGTGATTTATGTCACTTGAGCCTTCTGGATTTGAAACAATAATCTCTATCTTATTATTTTCCCTTTTGCTTTCTGTTCTCTCTAGATGCTGTTGCCGAGTGTAACGTATTTAATAGGGAAGAAAGCAAGATTCAGAGTATTCCTGAAAACATCAATCATGATCGTAAATATTTTCCCTCTTCAATTCGTGCTTGGAGGTGTCTACTTTCTTCCTTTTTCATAAATAATTTCTTTTTTAAATTTCCTTTGCTGGATTCAATTGTTGCATTTACTTAGAAATAATTTAAAATAGAAGACGTTAAGACATGCAACTGCTAGCGTCAATCAATTGTGGAATTTATTGCAATTATCGTATTAGACCTGCAGATGCCATTGATTTAGTTCCATGGAATTTAGTTTATTAACATGAAATTTCATATGATGACGACCATTTTGTAGTGGCCAATTCCAAATTCTTCAAGCATCTGCATCTGTTGAATTTTATGATGGGTTTGAGGCCAAACCTCCATGCGTTGTTAATAGGAAGGCATACAATCTTTCAAACAAAATTCCGTCAGTACTTAAACTGGAATCACTTTCTGCTTTGAATGTCTTGACTGATGTATTCCAGAATTATTCTCCCACTCTTCAAGATATTGCGTTATATTTCTTTCCATCAGATAACCAAGAGAGGTCAGCTTTTGCTTCCTACGTCAATACCCTTCCTTTTGTTGTTGTTTCTGCTGAGCTATTATTTGTTGTTTAAGCTGCTTATACATCATGTTTTCAATTGATTATAGGTCCAGAAAGAGCTTAAACAGTCTATTGAAGTTTATGAATGATGAAAACTCAATGCTGAGAAGTTTAATCGATGGAGTGGAGTTGTTGGTCTTTACATCACATCAGCTTAATGAGCATTCAAGGGGTACATATATTTACCTGTTGTTATACCAGCATTTATAATTGCTTTTTGTGCCTTCATGAAGATAACATAAATCAATCTCCCCAGGTACTATTGCTGCTGTGCATGAAGGATATTTTCTGTGGGGAGTTTTTCGCTCAAAAAAATCTGACACTTCTAACGAAAGGTCACCTGTCATGGATCCCATTGATATGGATATTGATATGATTGGAGGAAATGATGTTGCGGGGAAAATTGATAATGTTCTTAATGACAGTCTCAGGAGTCCCTCTCAGGTTCCTTTGGAAGGAACACATCTTCAGAGCTCCAGTTCTATCAAGATAGAAGAAAAGACCCCTACAAGCAATTTGAATTTGAATGGTGGGGACAGAAAAATTTCGTCTGAAAATCTTAAAAAGAAAATCAAATCTGAGGTTTCTTGGGACCCATCATCGTGGAGCCCGGTAAGGAAGTATCGTAAAATGCATGACATACTTGAGAGGGTTCCACCGCCAGGCTTCGAAGCTCATGGTAAGAATTATTCTTTGTGAAACTTCTTTCAATGACCAAAAATCTATGTATATATTGTGGAAGATTAGTATCTGACAGTGCATGTTTTGTGGGATTTTCAGGACATGGTGCTGCGAAACCCTCAAAGATTAAGAGACGATACTTGTATTAGAATATATTCAGGTGTAGGTATATAAGCTATGGACAAAAATTATAGTTAGCATTTTGATTCAGATTGATTCAACTCATATCTCTGCTCCTATAATGGGGAAGTTGCACATGGTTTTATTAGAATTAGTATGTGCATATGTTTAGTTTCTCCTTTTTTTGGTCATGGGTGTTTAATACTTCTTTGATGTTTAATTTCCCACATGTGCAGTTGCGTTAACATGATCCAAACACTTGTACTTTGTGAATCACTGAACTTTTATCTGAGAGTATTTCTTAAACAGGTTGCTTATAAGAACAACTGTAACAGTTTTTGGAGCTTATCTTGGTAGCATGTTGAGTTTCTTTTATAGTTAAACAATGTTTTTGTGTAAGGACCATATGCAACCTAAGAAAGTTTGGAAGCGATGAATGGTCTGTTTTTAGGTAGGATTTTGAGTTCAAACCTTGGAACATGTGGTTCTAATTTGTAAAAATTAAAATGGAATAATTGCATGCCAATAAAAAACAATCTTCTATGCAAATAATCAATCGACTAGAGCAAGATCATGCTTACTTGAGTGTTACTTGAAAATTACATTGTCGGAGCGAAATCCATGATATGCTTGAACACAGTATATATGTAATTGAGGTGCGAAATCCATGCTCTGCATGAACATAGTATATGTAGTTGAGGTTAATAGTTTGCTACTAACTCAAAGTTGGTGGTTAAGAAATTGCTCACTGAAGATGCTTATTCCTCTTAAGATCGCTACATTTTTGTAATTACATAAGAGAAGATTAAAACAAAAGAAAAAGGAATAAAACACACAAAAACAAAGGGGATTGCTATTCGCACATTTAGTGGTATCCATACTTAAAAATCAACAATGCCTGCCTCTAAAATTTGGAACTTAATTTTCGAATGTACTCAAAAAGCAACCACAACTAAGTCTCATACTCAAGTCAAAACAATGTTGAAATAAATCATATGTTATTCTTCGTAATTTTTACGGAGGGTAATATTCAAAATCATCCTTATTATTATAAATTAGAAAATATTATATTTCACCATTAAGAGACGGTTGAGAACGTTTCAACATCTTTAGAATATTTTCGATCAATCTTCCAACTGTCGCATCCACTTTGATTAAACATTTTGTTTCGTAATGGTGAAATGTACTACACAGAACAATTAAATCTTCGTCCGTCTTCAGCTCAAACTTATTGAACTGTATCTTTCTTTCGTTGTCAATCAAGGGTGAACAATAATAGAGTTTCAGTACTCTTTGATTGTCTAGGTAACACAATAGATTCTCTAGTGAGGATTTCATATAGAAAAGACAAGTGATCTTTGTGAACCTAAATTCAAGAGGGGGCCTCTCTCTATTGAAGTAGACAAATACGAGATACGAATATTGAGACATTTGTCTGCAAATCCTAACTCAACTGGAAGAAGCTGATATTGTTAAGTTGAACATCATCACCAGGGTTCGAATACTGATATTCACGGTTGTATGTGAAGGTAAAGGAAACACAAGAAATAAGGGTTTGAATTGGGTTTCTACAATGAAACTTTTACGCTATCCAAGTGTTTCTCCGTGAAATAATCGCTATCCTTTTATTAAAGGTTACTTGCAGGATCGACTACAATAATCCTGGACTTAGTGTTTAGAGTGTTTTTGAATTGAAAAAAGGATAAAAGGGCAAAAGATAAATACAATTGCAAAGTAAATAAATCAAAGACAAGACTTGTAATTTAAAGTGAAATGATTGTAAATTGCTATGAATTTAAATGTGAAAGCATTCATACATTGTTAAGCTTGAACCAATTTCTCTCTTAGATGCATGTACTTTGAGTGTAATGCTATTAAATATGAAGAAATGCGACATCTAACACAAATATAGAAATTTTCTTAAATAGACATCCTAAACATGTAACCGTCGATGATTACTAGCCCATGTTTGAGATTCGTGGGAACTGTTTGAATCTTCCCACGTTCTTGCTGGCTCTGCAAGTTGATAACCGTTTCCTCCAGTATAAATTCTTTCTTCGCCGCCCTTTGTATCTTCGACCGCTGCCTCTGATCTTCTAGTCCCTATCGACTTGCTTACTTGGTTGATGTCCTCCCTTTGCTCGACGCATCTTATTATTTTTCACCAAGCTATGCTTCTTTAGCCAAATAAACCCCACACCTTAAGGTCTGTTACTCTAGTCGAAAATTGCTTGTCAATAAATTACCCTCCAAAATGCCATGTTCGACGGAGTCTTGTCGATGGGAGAATTTTGGCGTTTTCTCTTCCAAATTTTCGACTGTACGTTTCTCTGTGGGGATGACGTAATGTATAATCATGATTACTTTTTGCGCAACAGTTTCCCATGTCACTTCAATCTCTTCTCATGATTACTCCTAGTATTTAGGGTGTGGGTTTCTAACAAGCCCCACTAACTTTTCCACTTCTTTGGACCTGCTCACGCTATTCAAGTGACATTTGTTTCGCTCCTAATGGCTTTGATTCCTCTTTAAATAGTCTTTCAAGAACCCCTAGTTTATTTCTTCCGTTTCAGTTTCCAATCTTTCAATTCTTGAAAATCCTAGAGAAACTTCCTTTGTTTTTGCAATGGCCACCCCAACTGATATTCCTTTCACCGTTGATAACCACATAGCTTTCACTATCTCTGTGAAACAAAGCTTAAACTACATCCCAGATCCTCCTACTAAGGTGGGATCCAAAGTCCAAACATGGCAACACCAAATGTTGATCCCTTTTGTTGTTACGAGGAGACTCTTCGCATTCCATGGGCCTTACCCAACCCAAAGGACGAATCCTAAAGACGTCAATCAATACTTTCCTTGTTTTCTTCCTGTTATCCTTTCTTCCTTTAATCACACAAAACCTATTGATGTTAGGTTTTTGGTCTCTGATATCACAATATTTTCCTCTACACCCAATCCGGGTAACACAACATATCTTGCGTGGCTTGATAGAGTTCAAGAACAACATCAATCTCAATGGGAAATAATTGGCATCTTTGACGTTATTCAAATTTCACGGAGTGCCCATACTCTTGATCTCAACTTTATTCTCGCCTCCCTTTTCTTTTGGGAAGGCTCGAACAACACGTTCCAACTTTCTTGTGGGATGTTGACACCTAACCTATTCGACGTGGCAACCATTACTGGACTCTCCCCATTAGGTATGACTTTCAACCCAACTGTCTCGATGAAACACACATTCAATTTATGGCTTTCACAATTCTTTTTTTGCACAGGGTCTTTTACCGCAACCCAGGAACTTGTCCAAAAAAAACACTCAGGTGTCTCCAAATCAGAACCGATAAAAAAACAAAAAAAACATGTTTAATATAAAATAAAATTTAAATGATTTAAAATAAGAAATAATTGGTAAAATAAACAACATGTATCAAAACACCAAATAAAAATCCTAAAAAAAAAATCAGAAGTCAAACATGAGTCAACAAGTGTTGCCAAATTTTTTTAGAATTTTTTAAAGTCATAAATTATTTTTTAAAATATAAAGAAATAAGCAAAATAAACCAAAATTTGTGAAAAATAATAAAATCAAAGATAAAAATAAAATGAGGTCACCAATATTTTTCAAGAGGTCATTGAATCCTACTAGAATTTTTCCAGAATTTAAAATGACCAAAAAGTATTTTTAAACAATTAAAACAATCAAATAAAGTGAAAAATAATAAAAAATAACAAATCACAAAATAAAATTGTGAAAAAATAAAAATCAGAAAAAGAAAAATCAAAAGTATTTTTGATAATTTTTCCATAATTTTAGAAGTTGAAATGAATTTTTTATGAATTTTTGAAGTTTAAAACAATTAAAACAAAAAATCAGAAAATTAAAATAAAACCAAAATAATGTGGATCATCTGATCATTGTCAAAACGAGTTAGTAATAAGATCCAAGGGATCTGGCGTGCTGTGCATGGCATGGTCTTTAGCAAGAAAACACAAGATCAAATAAATCCGGGCTAATCAAAATAACACAATTGGCATGCTTTGATTGGTTGAAACGAAACATGTCATCGTCTTCAACCTCTAGCCTTCAGAAAAACCAAAGAATTTGTGATTCTTCAAATGAAAAAATTAGAAGCTCAGACCGGTACCAATGGATTCGTCTCTTCAAGACGATCACAACTGTGCCCTCGCAAAAAATTTCTTTAAACCATAGCTCAATCGATTTGCAAAAAAACAGAAGAAAAGGTGAAAACGAGTTTGTAAATTAAATGCTCAATTCTCCATGAAATTACAAACTAGAAGAAGCATGAGAATCAAAAGAAGGAGGACAACATATTAGTAACTTGTTTGGATCAATTTGGTTAATTAAACTACTTGAATGAAGTAAGAGAAATTTTCTCTGAAACTGGATTTGGATAGCTCGATTCAACGGATGATTTGGCTTATTTTTGATGTGGTTAGCTTCATAGAGGTTCAGTGAAGGTGAAAAGCTCAAGAATTTAGAACCGAAAGTGCTTTAGAATCAAATTCGAAGTTGCAGAATTAAGAGGTATGGAGGAAGTTCGAAGGAGGTTTTTTTGCTCTCTAAAGCTTGTGAAAATGAGTGGGATGTGGTCTGTATTTATAGTAGAAGTGAACGAAATCAAGAGTAGGGGTTAATGATGCAATTTGAGTTGAAATCGTGCACACCTATGGTCATGAAGAAAGTGTGATCACATGTGCATCAAAACTCATCCAAATGATGCGTTTTGACACTCTAAATGATCCAAACATCTATGCTAATCATGTTTAAGTGGAAAACACACACAAATTTGGTGATTAGAAGTCACATTATGGAAATTTCAATGTGACTTCCATGAGAGACTTCGGTTTTAAGGTACCAACTTTGAATCCATGGTGCACACAACTCAGGAGGCTCTATGACATGATTCTTGAAGCATTTGAAAGACAAAGTCACAATCTTTACAATGTGCCAATAAATATTCCATTTGGATAATTGAGCTGGAAGTTATGATCAATTGAAATCGTG